TGTTAATCGATTAATCAAAAACAATCAACTGATTCATTGATTTGCAAAATAATTGTTAGGTGCAGCCCTAGTGTTGATATTCCTTCATAGTACTTTGACTTTTTAAATTTAATTTCTCCCAAAAAATATTATTGGAAATGCCAACTAAACAAAAGTCAAATGATAAAACATTGTTATTGTGAGGTCATCATAAATGGTACGTATCTGCCTCACAAAGATGGCTGGTGACTTTTGGTTTTACCACTGCAGGTTATCATTTGATTTCTAACAATGCAGTAAATGTTGCTTTTAATGATAAAGTAGCCTTAACATATTTACTGCTTCTTTACTGCAGATTTAAGGTTTGTGCAGCTTTACCTGATATCTGTTTACCTGTCTTGTCTCTGCAGGTGATTCTTATAGAATTCCTACCTAAATACCCCATACTCCGACCGGACTGAGCAGACTGTTACCAGACCGGATGGATGGCCCGAGTCTCATCCTTAGTGCCTTGTGTGTATATATGTGTGTATGTATGAATGCTAATATATATATATATATATACACACACACAGTATGTTGGAAAAAGGGTCTTTGTTTTCGTCTTTTGTGACGACCCCGTACATCTCCCAGTACCTTGAATAGAACAGCATCTGCAACACTGTCACTTTGGTTTAGAGCAGATTTTGCACATGTTATCCTTTTTTTTTGTTGTTGTTATTGTTGCACTCTGATTTTTTTTTTGTTGTTATAAAAAGTAAAAGTCTTTTGAAAAGTGCATTTACCCCAAAGAACCGTCAACCTGCATCTGGTGAAGAAGTAATCACTAGCAGAAGAATGTGATGCCTTCCTCCTTCCGTGATGATCCTTGCCTTATGGATGGTTTAAAAAAAAAAAAAAAAAAAGGATGAATATACGTATATATAATAGATGTAAACTGGAACAGGAAGGATGTGGGGTATCCAACAAGTGTCTAACGCACAGCGTTTGTCCCCCCTCTGTCGTCTCTCTCTTTATATTAACTCTTTATACCTGGGATTTAGCTAGTACAAGATCTTGACGTGTAAATACCATGGTAGAATAAGCTGTACAGTGGTTTACCATTGTTTACATAAAGTTTACTTAGTTGTTTAGATTTTTTTTGCCAATATATTGCTGTACCATAGTTTTTATTAATGAAAGATGTCTACGTACTAGTTCATATGGACCTGTTTACCTTGTAAGCCATATATAGTTACATGTATCTGATGCCAGAGCTGAGACTGATTATTGCACTTGAGCCCAGAGGAGAATGATGATTTTTAACCCTTAATATTCAAACATGCTGTACGTCGGTTGGTGTTTTCTTGCCAATGAGTGATAATCCAGTATATATTTTTTAATATTTCAACTATTAGCGTTATTTTTGTAGTTTTGTATTCGTCTGTGCCGTGTTGGGGTCACTTAGGAAGCACTTCAGAATATGTTAAAGAAAAGCCTCATTTCAAAAGCTTCATTTCAGTCACCATCTTGTGCAAAAGTGTTATTTTTCATAATTTCAGTCCAAACATTGCATTTTTATTAGAGTGCCTCTGGATTAATACAGAGCTCAGATGTTTCAGGTTGAATCTGTTATGTACGAAGGAGGCTTGGAGTCCTCCTCCCGGTGTTGTTACAGTTCTTGTAAATGTTTGTCACCATGACCTAACTCCTCCGAACAGAGAAAATAAATAGTTGATTTTCATCTTTTCTTTTCATGCTCTGACTCCCTAATTCTCATCATGTCTGACCTTGCCTAATGTTGTGCGACCGCAGACGTTCGGCTTACAAGCAAAGCTGTGGCACTCTGTCATGTTTAACAAGGTGCTGAATCGTTAACTTTAACAAGATGGGGTGCAATTACTTGACACATTTGTTAAACTTAGGAATGCTATTACCATAACCTGCTGCTACTTCCTAATGTTATAGACCAGTGCTTGCAGAGGTGGGAACAAGCTTTGCCTTGTTTCTGCCGTATCTCGCTTAAAAAAAAAAAAAACTTGCACTGCTGCCATTTTATGGTAATTTGTTTCTGCCTTTGGTTGTAACTCAAGTTTTTTCTAGTTTTTAGTTATGAAAAAGAATGCTACGCATTCATCACAATTGTTAAATTGTATAAAAACCATTAAAATTGTTTACTCTTGTAATCTTGCACTAATAGAGGAATGGAAAAAAATTTACAAACCTTTCACTTGAATAACTTTATTTAAAGGGCTGAAAATACAATTAGGAAAGTGTATTTGTAAAATGTTTTAAACTTAGATTTGTTATTTTAGGAACTTCTGATTGATAATTTTCTGTTTTACTGAGGTATGAGTATGCAAATGATTTTAAAGGGAGGGGAAGGATTCAGCTGATTTCATCTCCACTCCAGTAACACAAATGCAAGTATAAGGTGTTTTTTTTTAGCTCTACTGAAATGTGCTGGTGAAGATTCTCAGTCATCCAGGTCAAAGTCATTCCAAGAAAGAAAATTTAAAAACAATCCACCGGACATTGTTTCCAAGTTTTAAGTAATTTCGCTTCCCATCCAGGGAGCTTTTTCAATTCAAAATGTCAGGAATGGCTGTGCAGGTGGGGCAGTGCTTAGCGAGCACAACCCATGTACGGAGGCCTGACCTGAGTTCGAATCCGACCTGTGGTCCTTCGCCGCATGTCTCTCCCCCTCTCTCATACCCCCTTTCCATTCAGCCTACTGTCGAAAAAAGAAACCACTAGTACCAGGAAAATAAATAAAAATGTCAGGAATGCAGGAAAAAAAAGTGCACGGTTTTATACAGTAGCCCATCAAAACCTTGTTTTTGTTTTGAAAACATGCAAATTAAAATGGACGAAGGGGTCCAACCCTTTGAAATGGGGGTCATTTGGCTTCTTTTGTTAGCCTGCAATGCCCCATATGCCTAAGTGTCTTAAAGTGTTTTGCTCTACTGAAACTTTAAAATGCTTGTTCAGATGAGCTCTTCAGCGACATGCACTTTAGGTGGATTTGGTTTTACACAAAAGGAAGAATATATGGAAAAGGCCTCCATCACTCTGTTGCATAAGGTGGAGGATCTGTGGTGCTGTGGGCCAGCTTGTATTAAAAAACAGGGGAACCTTGTTCAAAATATATATATATAAATATATCTTTATATTGGTGGTACCCGTGGCAATTGGGGAACTCGAGGTAGTAACCGTCAAAGTTCAGGAGTGGATACAGCAGATCCCTGGAAATACATGACATCTCAGTCCAGAAAAGCGCAGTTCTAGGAACAGCAAACATACTGTGCAGAACCCTCAAGCTCCCAGGTCTCTGGTAGAGGAGCAGAGCTTTGAGGAAAAAAGGGGGAGACTGCCACTGTGGGTGAGAAAGAGTTTGGGTTTTTTTTACTACAAGGTTTTCATGAAACATTGGATAAACTCCATCAGTTGTACTACAGATGGTTCTTTTATTGGTGTAGAGCAAAAACTTAAGTTTATTTTTACTTACTTAAAAAAACAACAACTCTGTGCACATCAGGTATAAGGACTGAAATAATAATTTTAACATATGGACAGTTTTTTGACCACTAGGGGTCAGACTGTACAGTTTATTTGACATTGAACAACCCACAGGACTCACCAATCAGATGTCCTGCATTTAAAGCATCCACAAAGAAGCTTCAGGTGCTGGTAAGGAGCCTCTCATTTGCTTGAGGTGTGTTTAAACAGAATAACAAACAATTACAAGAAAGTGGCTCTTTAGACTGGAGTCAGGATACCCCAGCACAGGGGTCTCCCACCAGACTTGAATTAATTGATAATTGAGCAGGTAATGCAGTCATTTTATTCAGGGGGCAGAAACAGATGTAAAAAATGCAGGGAAGTGGGTCTAGGTACCAGGAGTTTTAGTGGCTTTAGCAAACGCTCCCTGCAGAACCCCAGATATAGAGCCTGAGCTGTAATCCAACAGTTTGAGGAAAACTGAATTTGTTTTAAACGGCTAAAGTCAAGAAACACATGACATTTCTGTTAACAGATGGTCCTCCATGCAGATGGTGTGTTTCTAGATAGAAAACCCAAAAGCACTGCAGAAATCTGGAGTTGCATCTATACGAACACTTCCTGGGCCTCCATAGCACAACACTTTTCAAAAATATTGATCATCTTCTGCTTCATTATCCAACTCCTGGATCCAGATATTTTTTTCTAGGCAAGAAGACATGACTTCCTGCAGTGATCTTTATTTTGAAATAAAGAATCTTTAAGTTCTTGACCACTACACAATCTAATGTTTTATTATCTAAATCAGATTAAATTTCTACTCCATATGGAATGAGACAGACCATAATATGATTGATATGATTTTATTGAACAAAATTAAACAGCATAGGATTATTTACACATTACTTGGTGTACATTCCAAAAAGCCACTTTGTTTTGAATCAAAAGGCCACTTTAAGTTTCTATAAACAAGATGTGGTAGAGAGACAGTTTAAGGCAGTTATATTCTGGCTTGTCCTTCAATACCTCCAAGGCACCCACTTCTGCAAGTCTGTCCAAATATACTAGTTAGACACAGGAAATAAATACAGTGCTAAAATAGGGGCTAAAATGTTGGAAGAAAAAAAAGAAAAGGGAATTAAAAAATAAAAAGCTCAACAAGAATTGATGACCTTCATGGAAAAAAAAAAAAAATTGTTGATGATTTACAATAAGAGTCGTGAGCTTTTTCACTGTTACTGGATTTGAATAATAATAAAAAAAAAAACTTAAAAAAAAAGGAATAAACCCAAATGTGGTGCCATCATCTGTGCATGTTTTGACTCAAGCAGCTTTAATTCTGCTTTGTTCTGTAACGCTACTGGCTCCTTTAAAGTGAACATGTAGTACTTAAAAACACTCCATCCCTTTAAACACTCACCTACAACCGTTTTGATTTGAAATATTTTGCATTATTTTCAAATGGGTCTTCATTTCAGACTTAATCACAAACTGTTGATTAATTTAGTATTAGTTTATAGTCAGGATTCTTTTTATTTTTAATATGCTAGAAACTGATGGTAGATAAAATAACAGAATTACTCTTTCCAAGTTTATACTGAATATAAATTTGATCATTTGTGCATCTTAGCAGTACATCCATTTTCTACATGAGTCCCAAACGGCTTTAACAGTTCGGACTGTCTCCATTATGTCAAATAAAGAATCAAGGACATTGGGTTGGATTAAACAAATGCAGCTTAACAGGGCTACTTGTGTGTGCTCATTTGAACTTCTTTTATTACACCAGACTCCCCGGCCAGGACACCACGGTCAGGGTGACTTTGTTCTTCTGCAGCTTGAGCATGGGGATGAGAGAGGAGTTGTTCATCCCCACGGTCGTAGCTCCATTCACCGCCACAATCTCGTCGCCACACCTGAAGAGAAACATCAGGTATTAACATGGAGAATGGAAAAACACAGTGGTTTAGGGAAGCATTGTAAGGTGTAGCTTACTTGAGGCGGCCGTCGAAATGGGCGGGTGTACCAGGCACGATAGTTTTAATGAAGAAAGGCTGCTGCCCATGGCTCTCCTCGTAGCCGCCGACGATGCTGAAGCCCCAGCTCTCGTTATTGGTTTTCTGTAGGACAATGTCTCTGCACCAGTGCATGTGGCTGAGGGACAAAGATTCACAGTGCATTCTTTCAGGTAAAGACATTTTTTAAAAGCAGCGAAAATAGTCTGACAAACAGGAAAATACTGGTTGTGATTATGGGTCAGTGACTTTAAGAGGCAAAAAAACACAAGCCAAAAAAGATTAAATAATTTGTTATAAATTATTTAATCCAGATTAAACCTTATCTTAAAAAAAAAAAAAAAAAAAAAACCTCTGATCAAATCACAAAAATTAAAAAGCTAGATCAGAGTTTCTTAGAGTCCATTTTCATTTCCCCTTTTTTTGGTAAACATTTAATTTTTATAAAACTAATTTTAAAGGAAAAGTGGTCAGGATTCTGGAAAAAATGGCAGCAGTAAAACACTGAAGACTTTGAGAATAGGACAGGGACGGACTAAAATGTCCAGTTATCAATCAATCTGTTTTATCAAAACAGATTGATAAAACAGATTGGTGGGGAGGGGGCCAGCGTTACCTTGGTAACCCCAGCCAGTGAGTCCACAGCGGCGTCCAGGTACGGGTCTCTTCTCGTTGGTCATCCACATGGTCAAAGTCATCCCTGCTGCCAGTCTCTGTGTCCTCCTCGCCGCCTTCGGAGAGGGTCTGGATCACACGCAGCACCACCTGGGACTGAGCTGTCTGGGCCTTCAGAACAGAGACGGCCTCGGTATAGGTCAGCTGGGTCAGATCGACTCCATTGATGCTCAGCAGAACATCACCTATGGAAGAACAGTTTCACATTTAATTTAAAGGTTTTCAGCAGGATTCTAATACAGAGGCCAGACCCTGTTTTTACAGGCTGCATTTTCCTGCATATTTGAACGTCCGGGCATTTTATTGTTCATATTTGCATTAATATAAATTAATGACACAGTTTCTTTAAATATGCCTTTATACTAACCCTCAGTGAACCAAACCACACTGGTTCAGTAAAACACTCCAAAGTGCTCAAAGTGAACATCTGGACATCCTCACTCTGTCATTCAGCTCCAAATACCCTAATCAGCCGGTATTTGTAACGACTAATATTAAAGCAGGTTTTAACAATATATTCTTTATAATTATGTAGTATTAAGTCACAAAAAAATTAGGTAAAAGTAAAAATCCTTAGCCGATGGTCATGAGATTTAAATTTGTTTATATAAAACTACATAAACTTTAGTTAACTGAAAACATGTACATTTTACTTTTTCTCTATTTCAATCGGATTGATAGTGATAAGGCAGCTCCTCTTCAAAGAAGCTGGCCTCTTTTTTAGCTAACATCCTCTCTGTTTAACGGCCCTTAAGCCACACAATGTGTATCCATGAATAGAAGGAGTACAAAAAGACAGAATAGCCCTTTTCCTATTCAATCTATTGTCATTAATCCACAAAAGCTGTTCAAGGATCAGTCCAGAGCCAGCATCTTGTCTCCAAACAGGTTTTTGCATTTTGACAGCTAAACTACTGGCTCTTAGCCAACACAGAGCAAACCCTTTAAGATGGAGGTACAAACTGATGCTTTGAAATGGTGAGGACAAACATGAACTAAGTAAAACACCAAACACTTTATGAAATATACAAATCAATTGGTGCTTTTCTATTAAAAATTTTTATTTTATGGAGTAAGAACTGACTAAGTGTAAACCCAAAGTTTATAACAGCAGGTGTTGACAAAGAGAAGGGACCAAATAAACAACTGCAGCGACAGGTTCTTTGGACAGGCAGAACCATGAACTGAGCTATGTCAGTGAATACTGGATTTAGAAGCACGGTTTTCTGTTGCAAATCAAATTCCAACTCTCTGAGTTTCATATTGATACTTAAAAGTCAGAGAACCACCTCAGGGTTAAAATGAAGCACAGGAGCAGCAGCAGGGCAAAAGTCAGTGAGCTTATTATTGAGCAATGCAGCAAGGTGACATTATGTGGGCATGAGTCATGATTCTGCTGATTATCTAAATAGAATATCTTTGGTGTTCTAAGGTAGACATCTTAAGATAAATAGTCCCATTCAGAAGAAAGTTAAAACTTTTAAATAATCGCTCCAAACATAGCGGCCGTGTCTGTGTGCACTCTGATTCCTAACAGCATTTATTAATCCAGGTTTCCATCTAACCCACTCGTTCTCTCAGAGAAGCTCGTTTAGATTTGAAAACCACTTCAGTTACCACAGTTAAACCGGATTTCTCTATGTCAATGTAAATTTCTTTGAAAAAAATAAATTATTTTTATTAAAGTGTAGAAGCCTTTTTTTTGTACCTCTCTTGATGGTGCCGTCTCTGTGCAGACAGCCAACAGGCTGCACACTCGTGATGTAAACAGGCAGCCTGCTCCGACAATCCCTCCCCCCAGCTATGGTGATGCCCAGAGAGGTTCGAGGCTCCTTCTTTAAGCTCACTGTTTTCTCCTGACATGAAAAGCCACCTGGTGGGTCCTATAAAAGAAAAATTATTATTTAATAAAACGGTTGCAAAAAAATTGGGGTAAAATTGCATATTAAACAGTTGGACCTATTCAAGACACAGAGCTGCACAATTTATAACATTGTAATGCATTTTAATGAGAGGATTAAAAAAAAACTTTCAGATTCTCAGCAGGATCCTTTGACAAAGCGGATCCCTCTCAGAGGACCACTTGTAGAGACAAATGTGAAACATTTGAGACAGAGCTGAGAGGTAAAGGCTAGAAGCAATGTGTGAGGATCAACACTCCGCTCTTGTAGTGGAAAAGATGTGTGGAAAATGACGACTTCAACCAGCCTTCTCTTTGCTCCACAGTCTGTAAACTGTCAGAAGGGAAGCTTGGGGGAGGCGGGGGTTCTTCCTTCCCACAGCAGGGAACCCATCCCCCCCAGCAAGACGAAAAGATTTGACTCCACAGGTGAAAGCTAACTGTTACCAGCTTTGATCCTCTGGTCTTCCAAAGAAACAAGCAAAAAAACAACAAGCCTGCGGCCCCATGGCGGCAGAGTGAGCAGCACCCCTGGTCTTTTGATCAGGACAGAGGGAGGCCCCACAGAAGAGCTTTCATCTCCGCTCACCAACGCAGGTGTCTGCTCTTTAACCCCCCCTCCCAAACTGGAGGGACTGCTTTTCCTTTAACTTACTGTGTGCAGTATACCTAAACAAATCAAACTCTGAGGAGACAGAAAAGTATAGAATCTTGTCTTAGAGCACCAATTATTCATACCTCATAATTACCACCAACCTCAAAGTTATCTATTTGAGTTTTATACAAATAAAAACAAAGTGATGTATAATGTCAGAAAGTGATAATGATAGATGGGGTTAAAATGTTTTGCTGATTAAATAACATCTAAAAAATATGGCCTGCATTTATATATGGCACCATTTAATCGGTACTTTGTATCCGTACTCTTAGGCTGAAGCTGCAAGTCTGCCAGGTTTATAAGTCGAGAAATATAGTAAACAGCATTCTGTAAAATATATTGACAGCTAAAGTATTGTTTTATAACATAAATCCTATCCAAACTTCTCCCCAACTTAATTCCTGATCTTTTGCTTGATCTCCCTGATGCTCTGAGGCATTCACAGTTAAGCTGTATCCATATGGACAAAACTATTGGTAGCCCTTCTTCAATAAAAGAAAACCCCACAGATGTAAGGCCTGTTTCATGAGTTCATTTTCTAAAATCGTTCAGTTGAAGCATGTTTGGAAAAACAATGTCTGAGTCTCACTTTTTTTATAAACAATGAGCACCAACAATTTTGTCTACATGTGTACATTAAGATCAAATTACACATGGATGGACTGGACTAGATGCATGGAAGCAAACTGGTTGTACTGGATTTCATTTACAGGTAACAGAATAAAGGGAGCTGAATGTAAAATCAAAGCATATAATTGTTCTAATTCACAAACATGCTATAATCCCTGTTGGTGTGCCACATACACTTCCCAAAAAATACAGTTTGTGGTTATAATTTATTTGCACAATGTTGTATAGATTCATTTTAAACAGCAAGGAGGAGCTGTTTACCCATCGGATAATTGTGAGGGCAAATTACAGGAAAAAGGAAGACCAACTCAGACAACCCAGATGAGGTCAGATACATAGTTCTTTTATAAACACATGTTCATAAGGAGACCAGCTCGGTCGTATTCTTGTCTGTCGCAGGAGGAGCCCACCAGGGGGCAAATCTGAGAGCTCAGTTCAAACAGAGATGTCAGGGTGCTACATTTTTTTCATTCCAAAATTTGAATCTATATTGCCGTTTACATGATAAAAATTACTAAATGAGAAATGTGACAAAAGTCTCAATAAAAAAAAGAAGCATTTAGTAAAAAAGCAAAAACAAAACAAAAGGTTAAACAAAACTTTAGCAATGGATGGAAAATAGAGGGAGTGGCAATGATTGCTTAATGCCCTAATGAGTCTGAATGCTGATACGAGAATAAAAATGAAATGTTGTCCAGCTGTGGTAGGAGTCCATCTCCATTTGTTATCAAATTGTTTATTTAAGTAAAAAAAAAAAAAAAAGAGGCAGGACTTCAGTACCTAGGCTCTCCCATGGTGACAGGGGAAACCTATAGTTTTTTTTCAAAATGGTTATTAAAAGGGTGGCTTGTATTAATATAAACCGATACAGCCAATTAAATATACATTGAATCTACTAGCAGACAAGTTTCTAGAAACATGCAGAAGTAATATATTTAAACAGAGAAGTGATTAACTGTCAGAGGTAGTCAGGCTGATAGCAAACAGAAACAACATAAAACAGTAGGGACAACAGATAAAAGAAACCAATGTTTAATATAACCTTTAAGTAGGTGGTCTGCCGTCTGAAGTACTGCGGCTCAGGGGCCCTTCTTACTCCTCTGCTGTGTTGGCCCTCTCTGCTGCTGCTTCCTCCTTCCTCTGGATTCTCTGCAGGCCTCATTACAGCAAAGTTCACACACTTTTCACTGTTCTAAAGACAGAACAAAAAGAAATATGTGTTTTAATGTTATCTAGTAGTTTAACATCTTAGTGAGATTTAAAAAAAGGCTCAGAACATACTCCAGCTCCAACCTTTATGGTCATTGGAATGCCATGTTTTCCTAGCATTAATCTGCCCGGAGCATAACAAGTCTGTCTTTAGGAACACTAGAAGTAGTAGGGTCTACTAGAGGGAAGGTTTTTTGTCCTTTTTACATGTTTTTATGTGTTTCTTATGCTAATGCATACGGCTAAAAATGACTTCAAAACTTTCTCCATCATTTTTCCCCCTCATTTTCACGTTTCATCACCCTGGCCTTTGTTTTCCAATCGTACAGTAGTTGTATCATTGTTCTCATTAACTGAGCTCTAGGGTCTGATGTGAGCAGACAGATTATCATTCATAAGATAGGATTATATTGCATTTTACACTTAACTTATGAGATAATTATACTATAGATATAGGGCATTACTGAACACAGACACCTAAATACACACTATTAAGTGTAATTGGTATGTTCTTAGCAAAGTTTGATCCCCTGGTGTTAAAGTTGTACTGTCTAACTTTTCAGCATTGAATGATACACATTTACAGTTTGTTTACAATCACTTTCTCATTTGTTCTGCAGAGACTCTACAAATGATATCAAATGTAATTGCTGCGAGGGAATAGTTATAATTTCTTTAGTGATAAACTTTCCTGGCATTTCTTTTTGTGGAATCAGTAATGACAACCATGACTATAACAAAACAAATGACGATAAAAGCTTCTCAACCAATATTAACAAATAACTAATACTCTGTAAATATCTATATAATCTGACTAGTTTCTGGTTGGATACAATCTACAATGACAACATTGAATTTACTCTAATCAGTAGCAGGCTGTTCATAAAAACATGTTGTCCAGACAGTAATATCTTTAGATCTATACCTGTATGATGAGGGCAGCACTCTCAGGTGTACCATGCATGAGGTCATGCCCATTTATGGCCAAAACTTTATCATTATTCCTGAGTTTTCCATCTTTGGCTGCCAAACCGCCCGGCAAAAGGTCCAGGATAAAAACACCGCTTTCATCAGACTTCCGGATAAGTTTGATGCCGAGCGGCTCTGTGCGGTGGGTCTTTGTTAGCATGACATGCAGGACTTTCCCAGGGTTTTGACTGGATGGACTGTTCCCATGAGGACTATGGGAGGCAGTGAAGGTGGAGGCGTGATGATCCGACCGTTGGTCCCTTATTTTGAAGCCTTTCTCCTGCATGACGGTCAGCCTGAGGAGGGAGGGGTGCTGCAACACTGCAATCGCCCTGGAGTGGGGAATTGAAGCCAGGCTGACGTCATTCACCTGGAAACAGGACACCGTAGGGAAGAAACAACACTGTCAATGGGAAGACAGCTGAATACTGACCCACAAACTTTCCTCCCATTAAATAAAGATGCATTCATTTAGTTTCAATCTTTGGTAAATGCCTTTATTGCCATGGTTGTTTCTCTTTAATAAACTTGAAAGTAAGCCCCTTGCAGGGGCAAGAGCTTTGTGATAACACAAAGAATGAAAAACTGCAGCCATTGTTTTGTATCCTGAAAGCAAACTATTCATTGGCAGGTTCATGTTTTCATTTTCAGAATTGCAACACAACATTGCTCAAAATTAATTTTAAGCTCCTTTTAGATGCTGATATTAAATCGGCCTAAATTATTTGATACACTGCAGATTTTGCAGGGTTTCTCACTTTCACAATTTTTTATCATATAGGCTCTCTTCGACTATGAGAAAATCCACATCAGAAATCCAGAAAATGTCTGTTTTTAAAGTATTCAGTTTGTATTTTATTGCATGACAATAATTTTAAAGGTCTGAAAAACAAAACTTAGTATTAAGTATAGAAACCTTTGATAGGAGTAATCTCTATGATTTAGACTTTCAGCTCCATCCAAAGGTTTTGCTGTTAGGGTCAGGTCTAGAGACAGGCGTGACAGCTCCAGGACCTTCAAAGGATTCTTATGGAGCACCTCCTTGGCTGTGTGCTTCTAAATATGTCGTGCTGGAAGATCTCGACCCAGCTTCAATGCCCTCACTGAGGGAAGGAGTTTATTGAAAGATGGTCCAATCTGTCCGGCCCTCAATATGGGGCAATCATCCTGCTCCATAAAAGTAACCAAGAGATGTTGTTTCCTTTCATTGTTCATGGTTAGAAGGTAGGGTTGTAATCATCCTCCTTCTTCCCCTCAAACACCTTGAGTGGAGTTCAGACCAAAAAACAAATTTTTTCCCTTACCAGACCACTTGGTCTTCTCCGTTTTCTTCTCTCGATCATTTATACGGTCAGTAGTAAACCTTAGATGACCTGGACATGTGCTGCGTTGAGCTGGGGGACATTGTGTGGGCTGCAAGTTTCAAACATGGTGGCAAAGTGTTTTTTACTTATGGTCTTCTTTGAGATTGTGGTTCCAGCACCATTCAAATCGTTGATAAGGTCCTACTTTGTAGTCCACACCCTGAACTTAATCCCAGGTGACCCACGATGTGACATCTTGCATGGAGCCCCAGACAAAGGTGGAATGACCATCATCTTGCATTTTCTTCCAATTGCTCCAACAGTTGTCTCATTCTCACCAACCTGCTTGGCTATTTTCTTGCAGCCCATCCCTGTCTTGTACAGATCTACTATTTCATCCCTGATCTCCTTAAATGTCTTATGGAGCGTTGTAGAGAGTCTGTTTGTTTGATTAAGTGTGTGGTCATGTGTCTTTTATACTGATAATGTCTTGAAAGAGATGCATTTAATATAGGTAATGAACAGAGAAGAGACAGGCCTCTTAAACAGACCTGTTTAAGCTGCAGTTCTTACTGGTTCATATAATATCAGATGTGTAAATCATGCAATAAATATAGGTTAAAAACCAGACAGCGTAATTTTCTGGATTTATGTTGTAGATTCAGTCACAGTTGAAGAAAATCGATGATAAAAATGAAAGCCTTCTTTCTTTTCAGTATATCAAAAAATCAGCAGTATAGCAGATACTTTTCCCCACTATATAGTTATTAGTTTTTCCAAATTCAAAGGAATACAAACCCTAAAATTTGGGGTGATCACAGATACAATTGGGAGTGTTTTCTATCAGCTTGATAATTGTTTTTGGCTGACATCGGACTGACTTACTGTGCCAATATTGGATTGGAACATCCCTTACTAAAAGTATTATGCCTTTAAAGAATGTGAGAACACCCAGGGGTGATGTCATGACTGTATGCTTCCGGGTTGGTGTTCATTGGAGACACACCTGTGGGTGTATTTCAAGGCAGGAGTGACCAAAGTCCACCCTCAAGGGCCGCTGCAGGACATCGGCCCTTGAGGGCCCTTGTTTAGCTACACTGCTTCAGCACACCTTATTTCCACAGATAGCTGATTATCAGGCTGTTACCGAACTGCAATTATCAGAATCAGCTGTGCTAAAGCCGAAAAACATGGAAAGAACCCTAGAGGACTAATTTATGACATGCCTGTTTTAAGGCAACCCCTCAAAACACGCTGCTTCCTTGTGTGACCTTATATGAAAATGAAAAAAAGCAGCTGCAGGGATAAGTGCCCAACACAACAAAAGCCTTGGTTAAACTTAAGAAATTACAGTTTTCTGATATTTTCATCAGACATTATTTGAGGAATCCTGACTGACCTAAAACGAGAAATATTTACAGCGCCATTTACTGCTTAAGCAGTTATTTATCAGACAAAGCAGATAAGAGGTAAAAACCAGGAATAATTAAAACCTCTTAAAAAATTTTAACTGAAAACTTCAGTTCCTTTTTCACAAAAAAAAAAAAAAAAGGAAAAAAAAATAAGAAGAATTTCTTAGAAAAGAAAGTGTCCTGGGGGGGGAATAAACACCACATTACATTTCTTTGTAAATCAAAAGCAGTGAGTCAGACCATGACAAAATACAAGTGAAATTTCTCTCTCATAGATGACGTGTTTGTGCCTGGTAAAAACACACCTAGTTACCATGGGAATAAAACTTGTTTATCGTGAACTACCGTCCCCCATTCCCTCACTGAAAAACAGAGCAGTGTTTACATTATCTTCAGAATACAGCTTGGAGTCCTTCACTCAAACCCATCCCGGGATAAGCGGTGTCACGCTATGCAGCGTTTCCCACACATGGGCGGGACACCTGCCTGTATTACTAGGCATACACATGTAATTAGTGATAGATTTAAATATTTATTTGGGAATTAATTACTATCCAAAATAATAACTCCTTTATTACAGAGATCCCCCATTAACCCCAATCCTCTCTTTTAATACAGTCGTATCGTATCTGTCTCTTCCCTCATAAATCACAAACACGCTAGATAAACAGATTCTGTAGCCAAAGAGGGCTCAAGGGCTCCCAGTGTTGCCAGCCTTCCCAAACATTTAGCAACATTAACCTATCTGTTGCTATAGAGAGATTAGAGGCTGAGATCTACAACTACTCTTTAAGTGCATAATAGCAGGGGAATGGTCCAATATTGTGCACCAGTAAAATAATTAGCAGCAGTATGCAGTGCCATGAAGATCTGCTCCCAAATATTTTCTTCCACCAACTTCAGCACAAAGTTATTTATCTGAGAACACAGTAAGACAGGTCAGCAGTGTTTAAATCTCAGAAATCTTTCTTTAGGGGGCATTTAGCTCTGTATGTGGCCCCCGTGCACCCTGATAGAGCGCTCAGCACTGCTCAATGCATGGTAGCCTCTCTGCCCTTGCACTTGATAGACTATATATGGCTCATCAGCACCATCTGATACGTGTAAAAATAGTTCTTGTGTAACTTTCGGGATTTCATTTCTTCAAGCTCACCAGAGCTGAAGCAAAAATGTATATAAATGGTGGGCATTAATGGTACAAAGTTTAAAAATGGATTATAGACATGCTTGAATTCTAAAAACTGTTGAGAAGAAGGCTTTGCATTTGCATTTTGAATTAATAATCAAGTTAGTTTAAAATATTTATTTTAATATTTTTCTTAAAATAATCTAAATACGGAAGCTAAACTAGCAAAATCTAAAATGCAAGTGTAATATAGCAGTTCTATATAGATGATATTGGTCTACATCTCTTAAAAAAAAATAATAATAATAATAAAAAAAATCTTCTAATGTGCATGTAGGGTGTAAGAAAACATGAAACAATATATTTTTATATAATAATGTAATGAGCATTTTTAGTCTATCTTTTTCCATAATTCATATTTCAAGTGAGGAGCTTTTCTTAGTTTTTAAATTTGTGTGAAGTCAATGAAAGGCAATTTGTCTTAACCTTGTCTCATACAGGCAGTTATTAGACAGTAGCTATGTTTGTTTAAATGAAAAAAAAATTGAAGAGTTTACTAAAATGTGTTTGCATCAGAAGATAATGTGGACTGTAGTGTTTTTCCGGACATTTGTAGTCATAATAAAATGACCTGTCGGAATAAAAATATGTCATATAAACATACTAATTGGAATATCCTGATAGCATCTAGCCACTCAAAGCGAAAGTATGTCATGTGGAGGCGGAGCATTGGCATAACCCCACCTCTCAGTATGTTCAGTTTGCTCACACAGAAATAAACTAAAGAAACTTTACAAAACTACAGATCAGAATAAGTTTCAAACATCTAGCTTCTTGGACACGAACAAAGAAAATATATTAGGGAATGATTCATGCTTCAGAAAAGCATTTAAACAAAAACAAAAATTGCTCAAGAATATATACTAGGATAGAAAGTCCTGATCAGCCTGTTTTTTCTCTTGATACTGACTAAAGCACATACTGCCAATCATTTTAAGTTAATGTGGGCTGCCAGCTTAATTATCCATTTGCTTTTACGCCACTGAATCATATAATAAGGTAATTAACAAGACCCTTGAGCACTTGACCTCATGCTGAGGAGGAACTTCAGCTATTTGACCCAGGTGTGCTCGTGCAAGGGCACATCTTAAAGGTGCAGGACATTGGCCCTCTAGAGTCAAACTAAAGCCAAACCCCTCTGTCTGATCACCCTGCTCACATAAAAAGACAACATTACACAAAATGTAATGGCAGCATCTTTCTTCACCCCACCTCTAGGATATGGTCCCCTGGAGCCAGTCTGCCATCTCGAGAGGCTATCGAGTCCCGGATGATCTCCTGGATCACTATATTTCCCAACGGTGTATCTTTCCCTCCAACAATACGGAGGCCTAACTCCTCCTCAGGCTCATCCCTGAACAGCTCCACCACGTTTGCCTCAGCCACAAGACTGGACCGCAGGGGGGTGTTATCTACAGGAAAGAGGACCAGAGCACAAAAATGATTAAACAGAGCTGGATTTATTATGTTTGAATCAGGTAATTTAATCCTTTTTTTTTTTTTTTTTTTACATATTCTAAGCTTGTTGACAAATATTATGATGTAGTTTTAAACCATACTTAGCTGGACAGAAATATCTCCATGAAGAATGTTTACTGTATTTATAATATTATTTATAATTTTCTTATCGAGGCTTACTGTTTCCATATCACGGCTTGTTTGTTTTTTAGAAAAAATAGAAATACAAAATATGTTTAAAGGTAAAAATACAAATTTTACTTCCGATTATGGATAACTCTTAGCAGTCAGGGAAGAATAAAGAATCCTTAAAATGTAAAGCTAAATCTGCAGAACCCATGGCTAATGCATTGAGAAACAATTCAAAATTCATCAAATAAAGTAAAACCAAACTCTGTTTTTAAATTCCAACATAGTTGGATGTAATTCAGATTTAGGTTGTAAAATCTAAAACAAATAAAACTCTAGCATAATTATTAGAATTGAATTTTAGCAACCCTGCAGTCGTAATGAAAGCATTCGAACAAAATCAAAATATTATTCAGAGCTGAAATTCTGACAAAAACAAAAAGAGAGAAGAATGTGTAAAGGTAAATCCACTGCAGCTCATCAAAGCATAAGGGGCCCCTCAGAACAAAAACCTGCAAGGATGGCTTTTAAAATAAAATGACTTGCTTCAAAAACTATAAGAAGTCTGGGATCATGCTTTGGTCAGATAAGACTATTGTTTTGTTGTGGCATCTTTGTGGAGGATCTGGGCAACTGGGGTGGTAGGGGCCCAGAAAAATCAACCATACAGGTGGCCGTGTTATTCTGAGACTTCAGGAGAAGATGATAAGCAGACAAGAAAGGGTGGGTGGGGGGTGGGGGCACTTGTGGTTAGAGCTGAAAGCCTGTGTTCTGACAAGGCTGCAGGTACCAGCTTCAAATCCAAAAGCCTGCACCTCTGGGTCTCTGATAAAGACCCTCAGCCTCAGACTGTTCTGCTGATGGACGGGCAGATAGACAAAAGAAGGACAGAGTTGGACATGAGAAGGGGAATCTTTGGGCTGTGCAATCCTGCTGAAAAATTTATTATAATACAAGCTATTATATCTTTCCATATCGATAACTGATTGTTGTTTTCTTTACTAAATTGAAATAAGGACCAGGGGAGAAAAAAAAGCCATGGTTTAACTATAACCCCACTTCAAAATAACCTTTAACACATAAAGACTGGTCAGCCCTGCAGCCATCCTTGCTTAGCTTGATGATAAGAGTTAAGAGGTTAAAACCTTTCCTTTAAAAATTGTATTTCACATATTTTTTTCTGCTATTGATGAGATATCTATGGCAATAAATCTATATTAATTTATTGAAAGCCCTAGCAGATCTTGATAATGAAAGTTCAATTAACTTTGCTTTTAATTTTACTTTCATTCAGCCACCAACCACCTGTAATATGATAGCAGGATGCTGTATCATCTGTTATGTAATGTTTAACAGGAGTTTGTTGACCTTTGGTTACAGCATGATGACATTAACAGCCCAGTTCACTTTCATTTTACTTCAACTCACACTGGTTGCAAAACACGGTTAAATGAAGTAATTTTGTTTTTTAACAATCACCCTATCTCAAAACTAAAAGGTGCTTATATGCTACAAATACCTCAAGTGTGTGCAAATTTTAGAAACTATAAAAACATGACTTTACTTTGAAATATGCAGGAGCTGGTTTGGTATTCATGCTGTATGATAATCCTAATCAACACTAACATGGTGTCCCTGTATGCACACAAAGATTTCAGATGTAGAAATAGATCTTTTAGATTTTGTTCATAACAGCTTACATGTGAAATGCAGTTTTAAAAAAAATATTTTCTTTTCTATGAGACTCTAGGATTTTTTTTCCCCTCATTTGCTGCTAGGCAACAGGAGTACCACATGGTTGATTTGACATCACAGAATGGCTGCAGATTTTTTTCTTCTCTTCTTTGTATATTAAAATCAAATATTCAAGAATCTGGCTTTAACAGCATTTAGTTCCTAAACGAAAAGTTAGTTATCCGATTCCACCTTCTGATGGTCCCCCTTTCCCTGGAAGAACTAATGTTCACCTTTACAGGCAAAGCAAAGCAATTATTATCCAGTGATGTGTCAGCCAGTCACATTTTCCAGCTCGCTGCATGCATTTTTTTCCAGCACTCAGCAGGGGTTTAAACATATCCCCTATGAAGCTTGACCTAATGGACCTGTGTTGCTTTATGTGTAAACTGCAGATGCAGGATAGGAGGTTGAAGCTTTTCCATGGTTTATGCATGTTATGCACACTGCTTTAACCTTCAACACTGTCTGCCATCTGATGTCATGATCCGGCTTGTTGTGTGTAAAAACATGTTCACCTGTCACTAATCTGTTTCCTTTTGGTCTGTCGGAATAACAGAATGGAAACGGAAACAGCCCGGTAAGGACATTTTTACACCAATGATACCAGACAAAGTGGTTAACAAAGACTGGAGAGATGAAGTAAATCAAAGGAATTAGCATGTTGACACAAACAAAAAAAATAATAAAAAGGTATGAGTCACTTTTGGGTCTTTATAGGCCAAGAGCAATTTGCTGCAATCTAAGAGGCATTCTAAAGTGTTGACAGATTTTGGTCTGTGATGAGGGTCTACTGTTGCTTTAAGGGTTTTTCCGATTATGCAACTGTGTGGTTAAAACATCTGTGAGCTGGTACATGTTCCTGCAACTAAGGTGATGATTCACCTGTGCTCAAAAGTATCATTTCCAACTAAGAACATTGACTGCTCATTCCTCACAGTGATGCAACCATCTACGTTTAGAATAAAAAGCCCTTAAAGTACAATCAACTGTCACTCTGGAAGATAGGCAGCTTATGCGAACACATTCAGAGGAAGATGTAGTCATATTAAACATGTTTTGACAGGAAACAGAAATGTTTGATGAAAGGACTCCAGTCCGTACCATCGTCAATTTCCTCATAAGCAGGATTAATGAGACCCGGCTCAGACTGATCCCTGGTGGGATTTCGAGACAGCGTCGCTGAATGTTTCGCATCTCCAGATGACTCTCCATCACCCTTGCGCCCTTTTATTTCATTCCAGGAAGGCCTCTTCCTCTTCTCTGCTTCTTCCCTCAGCCTCTTAAAAACAGGACATCTGGGAAAAACACAAAGACACCACATGAGAGGAGGTTTTATTCTTAGAAACAAAAATATCAGACTATAAATAAACAGAAAGAGACCACACTAATTGGGTCATAATACATAAATCCATGGAAATAGATGTTTAAAAAAGTTTAGCCAACAAGGGAGGCTAAGAAAAGCAATATGAATAGGATTAAAGCAGAGAGTTTGGTGTGACAGGCTTTGTTTGATTTAGTCAGCGATCTGAGCCTCCTGCTTATCCCTTGGTCCTGAACTTTGTATCATTTGCACAGAGAGGTAATGGGAGGGCACCATGACTTAATAACTGCGTAATGTCTGACAACAAGGGTGATAAGCACCACAATGGGCCTGAGCAAAAGAAGACAACTGACCTGCACCTTTGTCTTAAGCCCAGTTATTATAAACCTGTTTATTTAAACTAATGCTGCAACTGAGAGGATGCAACAACTTAAAGACAAACATCTTTCTCTGCAGATAAATCTGACAATTTAATGATGTGTTGCTTTGAGAATCTTTTGCTCATACTTAATTGATACAATTAACATGTTTTCCTCAACAGAAACTTTAGACCAATCTGATTGTATTATCTCTGCAAGGTGCCTTGAGATGACATGTTGTTAATAGCTGCTATAAAAATAAACTTAATTGAATACTTTAATGTTACCAGAACATTAAACAACGTGTACTGTCAGAAATAAAAAGATAACCTGAGTGAGCACAGCATCCAGTTTCCTGAAGAAAATCTCACTTATCAGGAGAAAAAAAGCTTTTCAAACCAACCTTGTGCTATGAGAACACAAGTAGCAACCCGCCTAAATTTTATAACTGATTCAGGGAACCTCTGCAGCAACAACTAAATAATACATGTAGAACCAAAAAAGTAAAAAAAAAAAAAAAAAATCCACTGGACTTTTTTCCAAGTTTGAAGACGTTTTGCTTCCCATTCAGGAATCTTTTTCCAGTTCAAACAGTCAGAAATAACATCGAGTTCGAGGCTTTATAGAGTGGACCAAAAACAAAGCCTTGTTTTGGCTTAGAAAACATGTAAATCAAACCGGATGAATCAGTCCGACCTTTTGGAATGGGGTCGTACCCCATACCCATCTATGTATCTGAAAGGGGGGTCGTTAAAGGGAATTGTTGTCCTGGCTTAACAGACGAGGGGTTCTGTTCCCCTGTGAGGGGGTGTGGGTTGCAATGATAGCGATTCTTTTTGGGACCAGAATGTTCACAATTTGGACAAAGAGGACAGGTTGTTTGAGAGGGGCATGAAGGAAGCTGCATTTGTGTCCTGTTTCTAAATGTAGCTTTTTCTTTGCAAAATGCATTTTATCTTTCACAAGTTTTATATACACAATCAAAATATACAAGCATTAACACCGTTTCCAAATAGAGTATAACAAAGTATAATGACTGATTAAGTAATTGGCTATCAAAATGAAACATTTCTCCATTCCAAGCTAAAATAGTATCTTAAAAATATCTAGCTTGTCTGAAATAGAAACATTTACTAAATAGCTATGATGAACAGTCACCACAATGGCCAGAACCCTACCTGTTGTGCAGGTGAGGCTGCAGCTCACAACGCTGCATCTTCTGTTGGCAATCTGCATAGTGAGGGCAGGAAACAAGCAGTTTGTCCAGCAGGTTTCTAACCAGCAGGCTGGAGGGTCGACACTGATTTAGCTGTAGACGCTGGCGATCCACGGGGCAAAAGTCCTGCTCCTTCAAGAAGTTGCTCAGACAGTGATAACAGTAAGTGTGTCCACATGGAGTATCCATGGGTTTTAGGAGGGGCTGCAGACAAATGTGACAAACCAACTCATCGTCCACTTCGTTTTGGTACTCATACAGGTGAGTTTCCTGGCCCTCGTGCTGTTGGCCACATTCTTTACACACGCGAGCCCAGGAGAGACCCGCAGCGCTGCTTGGGGCTTTGGTTTCTGTTGCAGCCATCGTCTGAGGAATCCCAAGCAAAGCCTCTATCAGGAGAAGATCCTCCTATCTCCTCAAAAGCTCACTCCAATGGGTCTTGGTTATTTTTTACGGCTCCATCTTTGAAAATGAACCCTCAAATGTAGATGCAGAGGCACAGTGTTATCTCCTGGTCTTCATCTTAGGCTTTCTGTAGAGAGAGAAAAACAAAGTAAGCTCCATGGCAGCTCTTCAGCTGCTCCCACTCATACTGGCCGGCACTACAGGAAATCACAAATCCAAAAAGCAGCAGCAATATGGCAGCGGGCTGCAGCTGCTTCCTCTCAGCAAGCTTCCTGAGGGACGAGAGGAATTTTGCTAAAAGTCAGCTAAAAGTCATGGTACCTCTTGGGGAAGTCGCCAAACTCTGGGAAATGAGGCAGAACGAAATGGACTGAGTCAAACCTCAGCTTATGGGGGAGCACATGGTACTTTACAAGAGTAAGACGTTTGAATTAGGAGGGCAGAAATGCAATCCCTTTCACTAATAAGCCCTTCAGCACCTAAAAGCCGGCGGTCACCATGCTTTTAGTGCAGCTCCTGATTTCCTTTTAAATTCCCCCAAAACAGGAGAGATCCTTTAAAGAAACTCTTGAAAAAATGGGCCATATCCACATCTAGCCTGTTATGAGATTTTATCAGCATGATAAGGTTGAGTAAAAATATCACTCCTATTAGCACTGCTGTTAATGTAACAATCACATCGGATAAAAGCTTGTTTTGAAGGAGATGCACAAAAAAAAGAGAGGCTGCACAGAACCAACTAACGTTCCGTCTCTCAGGAACAGAAAAATAACCTGAGCTTGGTTAGGGAATTATATGTAATCAGTGCCAAGATGCAGCAACCTTCACTTTTAATTTTTTAAGCAGTTACAGGGGGGAAAAAATTTTTTAACTCCAAGTATCAATGAAATAGTAAAAATTAAAAGAAATAGAGATACAAGTAGTTATTTAAAAAATGAAATATATTTTCTATAATTTATCAATTAATCTCCGCAATACAGTTGTTCTGATACTAAAATGTCAAACTGGATATCAATACCCCGGGAAATATTTCTTACTATACATTATTTTCCATATCATGGGGATAAAAAAAAAATCACAAATTATAAAAAGACATAAAAAATATTTCTATTAACATCAAAAACTAACCATTTTCAGGTTTAACACTGATAATGTTTTCACAACAGAATTGGAGTAGATGAAATGAAATGTTAAGGTTGTCTTTTACAGAGCAAAAATCTACCGTATTTTCACGACTATAAGGCGCACATAAACGTCTTTTTTTTCCCCTCAAAATGTGTGGTGCGCCCTTTGGTGCGGTGCGCCTTATGTGTGTTGCAACTGCGACTTTTGAGACCACCTCATTGAGGAGATGATGAAAGAGTGGCTGAATGTAAGGAGACCAGGAGTTTTTTTTCCACTCATCACCATCGCTGATGTGAAAAACATGGTGAAAAAAAATAAACGCTGTGCTCGCCGTTATCTCGGGGGTCTGACAAAGGAACTTCAACCGCTCGACATCCGTGTGAACCGGCCGTTCAAAGTAAGGCTGCGAGCGGCGTGGGAGCGATGGATGACCGACGGAGACCACAGTTTCATGATAAGTGGAAGGCAGCGCCGGGCAAATTACGCCACCGTTTGCGGATGGATTGTTGATGCTTGGACTAACGTGTCTGCTGGCTCTGTTGTTCAAGCTTTCGCAAAAGCCGGCATTATTTCTGAGGAGCCGCCCGGCATAGAAAGTGACTCTGACAGCGAAGAAGGGGAAATTGGCATGTCTGATTTAGCGCAGCTGTTTAATTCAGAAACAGAGGATGATGACTTTGATGGGTTCGATTAATACTTTGTAATAAATACTTGAATAAAGCACAATCATACTCAGTTTTTTCTCCCGCTCTATTTTTCTACCTGAAAACTTAATTTAACAGCAGCCTCTGGGCGGGTCTCCTCCTCTTCACCGCTGTGGCTGGCAGGTGTTTTTCATCTAAATAATCTAAATCTTGCAGCTATATTTGCTGTGATCAGTGGGAATAAAGTAGTTTTAATATGTTTTTAAGTGAGAAATTCCACCTGAAAACTTAATAATTGCAGTCAGTTCATCCAGATTATCATCCTGCCTATAGGCTACTATTTCTGTCGGAGGCGCTCAGACCCCCACATACCAGCGGTACACTGACAGTAGAAATCCCTTCATCAGCAGCCTCTAGGCTGGGTAGCCTCCGGGTTCATTGCGGTGTCTGGCAGGTGTTTTTCATCTAAATAATTTAAACTGCAGGCACCAGGATACCGGTAATAAAAGCGAACATATTCTGTCGGCAGGTTTAGGATTTTAAGTTAATTTAGGAGTTATCACAGTGCTCTGTCATCTGCAATGTGTAATAAATACATGAATAAAGCACAGTCATACTCAGTTTTGGGCCCGCTGTACTTTTTAAATACGCAGTAGAGGTATTTAAAAGTAGTAGAGGACATGTACCTGTATATAAAAAACGCGCCCTATAGTCCGGTGCGCCTTATGTGTGTGTTAAATACAGAAATGGGACACATAACTGAGACTGCGCCTTTTAGTACGGTGCGCCTTATGGTCGTGAAAATATGGTATAAATGTTAAATTAACAACAAAAATGTGCAAAAAAACACAGTCCTGTATCCAGATACAGTGTCTTAGGATCTATATTTTTCTACTCTGCTGCAAGACATACATAACATGATGGTAAAACAGAGTAATCTTTATCCTTTTGAACTTTCAACCTCTGTTTCTTTGGTAAATGCTGGCAGTGTTTTGAAAATTTCAAAGGAAAGCTGCGGGTTTGTTTTTCTCCAGCTCCAAACAGAGAGACTACCAGCTATGCTACTCCCCATAAAACAGAAGCTAAACCCTGTAAAGATTGCATCTTTGCTTAAATATTTACTTTTTAAATGACTGCTTTCTTTCATTTCAGTTCTTGGCTTGTAAAAAAATATTCTGAATGCTTTTCTTGCATGGCAGTGTCTAAAGAGAAATCAGAATAAGCAAATCAGAATAAAGTCAAATTAAAGTGCCTAAAACATCAAATAGACTGTTTCAAGCAGACTGATATTTGCTGGATAATTATTTAGACGATCTGCTCAGGCTGACAGTTTTTAATAAAATAGTACTCAATTTATAATAAGAATGATGAGTTATTTTCCTTTAATTTGTAATTTTTAGATAGTTTCTCTGGTTTAAACAAACCTGATATAAGACTAAAGCCTCTCAATGAGCCATCCATGGAAAGCAGGTGTGCTAAAGGAGGGAAACATTTAAAAGAAGCAATAAACCCGCTCCTTGAGGACCGACTTTGGACTGTTCTAGGGTGAAGTGCAGGATTGTTCTCTAACCATCTGACCAAGAGGACACAGCAACATGCATTACTTTTTTTCCCATTCAATATGAACAATCTTCTCTCAATCCATCACTTTCTCATGCATGGCAGTAAGCAGACTTTAAACCATGGAAAAGGTTTAATGGATTTATTTAACAATAGATGTTCTATATCGTAATGCCTTAAAACCAGAAAACAAGCTCTGCATACCCACATCTGGACAGGTTTTAAAGACCAGGAGGAGTACTCATCAAAATTTCTAATATAAAAGTTAAAAAATATCCATTAAGAAACTCTGAAAGTCAAAAAAACATTTCTTGAAAGCAAGACTTTTTGCAGAGTATAGAGAGGAGAAAAGGTAAGCAATGTTTAAATATGCGTAAATGTGAAAAAGAGCTTAAAAAAAACAAACAAAAAAAAAACAGTCAACTACCTTCATACTTCTGATCTTTGTGATCCTAGTCCAGATTTCAGACAACCGCCCCCCAAAAAAGAAAGCGTTTTCTTCTCTGTGTTACCCAACCGAGTCACTGCAGATGATATCGTCTCCTGCTGCACGCAAACTCGAGACTCTCCCAGTCGCCCGGAGCCTGAATGAAACCAGAACCCAGCCTCCCAGACTATCGGAATAATGCCTGTGTGTGTGCAGCAGTAGTTTGGATGTGTATGAGCTCCGACTGCACCGGTAAGAGGAATGCAGATGGTAGGGGAGGGGCCTGGTATAACTGTGGAGCGTGTTAGGAGGGGGAAAAAATTGTTCAGCCTCTGTTGTCAGTGCCAATGCATATGCAGGTGTGTGTATATCAGACCGCTTGCATTGTACTGCCACAGGTAAAGGACTGTTGGATAAATGATTTATAGGAAACACAAAAGCAAAGTTAGAAATTTGTGTGCGCAAGTTTTTTTTTCCGCGTATGAACACACAGGTCCGCTCCCTTTCTTTGTCTTTCCTAGCCACAGGGAGTTCTTACTCAGTTATGGATGAAGGATCACATACCACTGAAAAAGGAGCACAGTAGAGACTAAATGTGTCCTTTTCATTCAAACCAACATGAAATTGTGCAGGAAAATAGCACTGGAGGAAATGCACTCTACAAACTGTCTTTCCTGCTGCCTTTAGAGTTTATTCTTTACTCCATGATACTGAGATGTGCAACAAAGATCTTATAAATGACTTAATTTGACATCCAATCATTACTTTCATTGAAAGGAGCAAAAGAACCACAGGCTGTACTTAACTTTAACAGCAAATGTTTTCATCCTTCATGCTAAGGTTTCTTTCTTTTCAGACCTCCTATTTTAAAAGTAGCCAATTGATTGCCTAGAAACTGAAATATGGCTTAAAGGGGAAGAAAAATATCTATGCACAGGACAGGGTCTTAATGACCTAAGGCATGGATTAGGTGTTTAGTGAAGCAACTTTAGGATTTTAGATGCACAAAGCTGGTTCACGTCTGAAATGGGTCTATCACATGCTGGAAATCTAAACAGCAGAGTATTGGTTAGAATTAAAGTCACAACAAAATAAAGGTTTAAAAAAAATGCAGTACTCATTTTCAGCATACCTAAACCACTGAGACAGATTCATGTTTCCAATGGTCTCAACAGAGCTGAACTCAACAAAGGAAACACTTTAGCCATACGAAAAGCCTTGTAATCATGAGGAAACATGAGCTTTCAAGGAAAATTTCTGCAGCCCCTCAACGCCTGCCAGTCGCCTCAAGGATTACCGGAGGTTGTGTTTCATCAAAGCTGGGTGAATCTGCTGCTTTGATGGCTGATGTGAGTGATTCACATGTACGGC